CGGCAAATATTTTTTAAAAACAGTTTTGTGTATCTGTCTGTGAAATAAAAGTTCCTTTCAAGGCATAAAGTTCTTTGAAAAAAAGACATGGCGAGATGTACCTATAGCAATATAAATAATGACGTATTTGGCTTCTACTGAGAAGAATAGTATGAAAGAGATTGACGGGGATGGAAAAAATAAAGAACGCACGCAGAATAAAGTGAGCAAGAGTACAGTGGAAATGGACCAGAAAGGAATATTGGTACGAGAGTACTGTTGGGCCGACTATCAGTCCCATGCGAATCCTCGCTTCCGCTCGTTTCCTACAGCTTCATTTCCCTTGTGTAAATATTCATGTACTAGTCAGTGTATACGTACAATCGTTCTCTTTTATTTTCTTTTTCTTATTTTCTTGGAAAGTGCTCATTTGTATTGATTGTACTGTATTGATGATTAAAACTGTATCATCGATCATCGTAGATACCATATATGTATTTTGTTGAAATTTGTGGATAAATTCATTTTAATTTATTCTATTTAATTGTGATCAATTTTATTTAATTGATTACTATTATATTATTAAAGCAGTAAAAATTGACGATTTAAAAAAAAAATGATAAATTTTTTCATCTTATTAAGAAAAGGAAAAAATAAAAGATTTTATTTGTAATTGGAAATCTTAATTCGAATTTTTATGTATTCGATTATCGATATTAATTAAAAACATATAAAAATACAATGATTTTATGGATAATGAAATTCGAAAGGCGATTAAATGAATCAAATTACTTGAAATAATTTAATTTTACTTATATGAAGCTGCTATTGAAAGCGATACATCATTACAGTCGGCCATTGGCTGTACAAAAGGTGTTTGTAGCCATTGTAATACAATGCATGGCTAGCCGCGAAGATCATCAATTCGCTCGAAACAGATCAAATTGCTTTCCACGACTCGTTGAGAAATGTGCCACGAAAATATGGATCGACGACCTTTCTTCATCAGAGTCTTTGCCATTCTCTCTTTTCTTCTTGTGCTTTTCTTCTTGTTCCATTGACTGCGATTGCAACTTGGCAGTCAACCAAAACCATTTCTTTTTTACAAAACAACAGCAACCTCCATCATCATCGCACGCAATAATCTTTTTCTTTCGTCGCGTAGAAGCTTCTTCGCAATGCAAATTATCTATCCTAAAATTGATTTGAAGTTGTTTCGCAGTTACTAAATGAATATGATACAGTGAATGAGTTCGTGATATATTACCTTCTGGTTAAATAATTGTTCAAAATTGTCATTTTATATACTGATAATTTAATAAACAACATTGCTTTCGTTAATAATCTGATTATCCGCTGTTTTCTACAAATGTCCAGAATTAATATGCAACGTCATATGTTGTACTGATATCAAAACCAATACAAACATGTCATGTATTTCCATTCTGGCAATTTGATGCCGATTCTGTAATTCTCTATATAATTATTACATACATACATTAAACGTGAGGCAGAGTTTCAATTTAGCTTTCAGCTAAAGAAATATGAAACTTTATTGTATTGCTGTATGTTATTGTATATACAATAAATCAGAACTTTGATAAATGTTTGATTGATACAAACATTCGTAAACATGAAACGTGAACGATATTATTACGATAATATTATTCACGAGATTAAATTGAGTTGTGATTTTTGGCAAGAAATTAAATAATCGTAATCATTGATATTCATGATAATTAAATTCGATAAAGATAAATTTCTTTTTTGTTACGATTATGGAAGACTATTTTATGGTTTTGTTTATTTTTACCAAAATTATCGTCGCGTGTAAAAACGGGAGAAAAAGCGTTTTCCGCGTTCAAATCAATAAAATTACGGTGATTCTTTACGCGTGTCAGAGCGAGCATCGCATGCGGCTTCTTTGATTCTTACGACCGATCAGTCGATTCGTGCAATGAAAACGAGAAAGAGATGTTCTGACGGTGAATGGAAAAACGACTCTTTCTCTCTCTCTTAGGGTTTGTTGAATTTTAAAATTCCCCGAGGAGAGTGGCGAATGGAGAAACTTGGGGAAAACGCGGGAGATCGTTGGCGACAGGTAATTGCATTGCAAAATTGCATGCGAAGATTCCGAGCTTGATTCGCGGCCGCCTCCCTAAGAATTCCCGTTATTGCCTGCCTGTTCGTTTTCAGCTCAAGCACGAGCTATTCTTACATAGGAGAACGAAAATATTCCCCGTTCGCGTGAGGAATAACTCTCGCGAAAATTAAGCGAGAACGCGGACGTCAGAGATTTAGGCGAACGAAATGAATGTCTTTGCTTCAGCGGCGTACAACGAGGGGTGAATCCTTCCTTTCATTTATACCGAGTGACTGTACGGTAATCAGAATGAATCGTCGCGGATGATTTATTCACAAAATAAGGAACTTTCTGAGCGTTCTTGCTTTATATACAATACGTATATATAAGTAAAACTTTTGTTTTATTTTTTTTTTGTAAAATACATAGTAGGAAAATCTCAAATTTGATGACGAGTTTTCTGTATGCAAAACTCAAATTATATATATTTAATCGCAATACGTCACGTCGTGTCTAATTATATATACGAGTTGGTTAAACTTGACAATAAACCATCGAATAATACGTATATTGTCTAGAAGCCATAATATATCCATTGGTGTGTAAGCGGTGGTTGTTTGCCGTAAAATATGAATATCTGGGTAGCGGTGAAGGATAATTGTCTCGGGGTTTACTTGCAGACAGGTCTAATGTGATTGGTAGTTCCGGAGCGGACGTAAGGGGTTTCTCAGAGGACAATCGAGTTTGCGCTCCGCTGGCAATTACACTCTCTGCTCGTTACGCGGTTTGAACGCGGAACTTTCTCGCGGCGGCGAAAGACGTCGTGTTCCGCGCGCGCCCGATTGAGGCCATTTTCGTTGAGCTGAGAGTTGCAGTAATTGCGAGGTAAAGTAAGTTCCGTTGTTTGCTTGTTCATTGTTGTATGCCAGTCAATCAAACAATAACAAAGATTAAATAGTAACGGCGCGCTCCATTTATACGTTTGCTTTTAACTTCCTCCGATGATGCGCCCAGGCGTCAGAATAATAAAGCTTTTAATTGCTCTATTAATCTAAAATGCGCGTATCATGTACGCTCACATTTATATTATTGATAATAGAAAAATACGCAGTTGTATATTGCAGGTATATAATTTCTCATTTACTTTATTAAAGTTCATCAAATAGCCGCTTCGTAAATTATTGCGTTTAATTTCACGATAGGAATAATGCTCTTACGATAATACTTTTTTTTACGAGTACTAAACTGTAACGATCCTTGCGAAATAAAGGGATAAAAAGTCATAAAGAAAGAGTGCAGCTGAGAAGACGGAACGGTATCCGTTACTATCTAAATTAAATAGGACCAAGTATCTTCCAGGAGAATTTCCGCCTGCTTTCGAATAAATCGCGTAATCTACTTAAAATTTCACGCGCGTACACGTGACAGCGTTATTTAAACAACATCGCGAATGTGCCTTCTTCTTCACTTATGCACGGATAATTCTTTTTATTACGCATTCCGTAGCGTGTATGGAGCATTACCTCTATTTTGCAAAGGAAAATTCTACCAATTACGTGCGCGAAATGCAGCACCTAGGCAAATAAAACATGAGCATTTTGATGCAAGTAAATGTACACGCGTTACCTTATATTCCAATTTAATTAGTGCATTACGGAACATTATGCGTACACAACGTTTGCCCATGATGTGGTGGTTATAGTTATTGGTTTATACACCTCTTGCAGCGTAATCACATTTTACGGTAATGAATTTAAAATCCTAGTTGAGAGTACATGTCGGCGTACTAAGAGAGCATGCTCATGATACTCGATCAAATATCAGAGCTTTGATCTATTATGTAAATGAAATACATGCAAAAATAACGATTAGTATATAAATGATACCAATTTTATTTAATATATCAGTTCTTAATCATTTTATTCTAGTTATTAATTTTTTTCGAAATATGTCTTCTCTTTATGTTATGTGTCTCATTAAAATACTGTTTAAACAACATGTATTTTAACATATAAATATTTTTTTATTGTAGTCTTTTCTATTTTTAAAGTAACGACTTGTCTTTTTATAGTATGCACAATTTTGCTTATTCATTATTATTATTTGATATACAACGTTACTGATACGAGATAAGATCTTAATGAATTTACTACATATATATATACGTCTCAAAGTTATCGTAGTAGTCACTAGTGTGATCGCTCAAATAAAACATTAACCTGTAAAATGGAATATTAACAAATTTATCTCGGATGTTACATGGTTCTCTATATTCTTATTAAAGAAAAACAATTATATAGTTTTTTATTAGTAGTGGATTAAGCAAGAATGATACTGTCAGATCAGTTCATAAAATTCTATGCAATTGTTGTTTAATTACGTTATGAGATATATTAATTTCAGAGGTATATTAATTTAGAAATAGTTTGTACTTTTTAGTATGTTTTTTTATCTATCACATTTCTTAATGAAACAAGAGAGTCTGAAATCATTTCCCGTATTTTTCGAGATATATCATATCTGAAATATGTTTGTTTCTGCAAAATACTGATAATTTGATGCATCATTTGAAGCACATGCTGATAAAGAAGGAGGATAAAACAGTTTTTTATCTTACAACATTGTTTTGTTCACATTTGTAAATATTAGAATTTTGCAAATCATTGCCGTAAAAGCTGTGACTTTAATTACAATTTTATTCGAAATAAAAATATTAGATACATAGGAATTAGATATAATTTGTAACAGCTCTTTAGAAAATTTTAATCTACAAATAAAAAGGCAATAAGAGTTAATTAAGTTCTATTCTAGAAATATATTTGTGAAAAGATTTATAACATATAATATTAAATATTAGACAGAAATAAATTTGTTTCGAATATTTATCTCTGTCTAATATTTAATATTATATATTATAAATCTTTTCACAAATATATTTCTAGGATAGAACTTAATTAGCTCTTATTGCCTTTTTATTTGTAGATAGGAATTAGAGTTACAACTCTTACAATTAAATTGCATTACAAGTCGTTTCGTGTCGCTCCGACGCGTCCAATTTTATCTCAATATAATCATCACTTTTTATTATTATTTATTATAACGCTTGATCTTTAACATCTTCACTATAGTTATGTAATTCTTCTATAATCAATAAACTAGAAAATGGAAGTTTTTTAACATTTGTGATATATGTATAAATAAATGTAAAAATAAAATGCGTGTGTCAGTAATATGCAACGATTGAAAATATTGCGTATTCGTCGACTTTTTCATTAATTTAATTCGCAGCTGGCTCTTTTTCCGACAAGATATTTCTGCTCGTTAGCACTGAGTAAAAATATCGCGTGAGATTACAATTTGTCAGATCGTTTATTGGCCGCACCAGCATTACTTGGCACTGATATTGATGTGTCATAAAAACTTTTTGCAAAAATGAACGCGAGAAAATGAGTAATCGTATTACCACTAGATTCATAAATCATCGCTATAAATTGCTCACAGTGGCGCAATTCAATAAACGTACTCGACTCAACTTTTCTTCGTCAATTCTTCCTGGATCTGCTGTAAGGATTTGCCCTTGGTCTCGGGCATGCAGAGGAGCGTAAACGGCACGGCAGTTATCAGTATCAAAGAATATACGTAGAACAGATATTTCTCCGTAAGTACATCAACTAGAGGCTGATAAGTCGACGTGGATATGAAAGCGAAGAGTCCAGCAATGATACTGGTGAAACAGCCAGCCATGCACTTAACATGTGATGGAAATATCTCGCCTAATACTGCGGTGGGTATCGAGAGAATGCCAATAAAAACGGACATTTGGAAAAATAATACCGAGAAGATCGGTAGTCCTTGCAAACTAGCGGGATCATAACCCGCATCGAGAAGCTGGAATTCCGTACCCAGGCAAATTAGCGAGATCGCGACGGTCACGCTGGAAGCGATCATCAAGACTCGTCTGCCAAACTTGTCGATCAGCAACATGGAGAACAGAGAACTAACAATTCCGACTGCGGTCACGATAATCACGACTGTCGCCGGTTCTATGATAGTTACGTCGGCGCTTCGCAGGATGGTTTCCATGTAGAACATCACATTATTCATACCACACATTTGACTGTACATGAAGAGCACAAACACGAGCACTAGCGCTTTGCAAATATGCGGAACTTTGAATTCTTTTAAAACGTTTATGAAGCTTAAATTATTGTTCGCCTCGATGAATTTCTTCAAGCTCTGTAATTCTGATTCCACGTCACATTTTCGGTGATACCAGAGTATCGACGCTCGAGCTTTCTCCTCCGCTTTAATCTTCACGAAATGATGCGGTGATTCCGGCAACCAGATAAAGATGATCATCAGTATAAAGCAAAGAGCGAGACATACGCTAGCGGAGATATCCATCATTAAATTCGCACCCATGGTGCATATTACTAAATTACCTACCGACAAGCCAGACATTGCTGCAAAAAAGAGTTTAAAAATTCTTTGTTAGTTTTTCACAATTGTCTTTTATTATTAACACAACTATATATATATATATATATATATATTTGTTCATGCTAAAGCTTTCAGAATTGTCAGTCGTTTAACAAGATATCTCAACTTCCAGTATTTTTCGCATTTTTTGCTAATTGTAAGATTTAGATATATATACATTTTTGTTTACGTAAAATACATACCTAGAATTATGAGAGCTCCGCGGATGGTAGGATCTGCAATCTCGCTCAAATAAAGCGAGAAACAGGTGTAGGTTTTTCCGACACCAATGCCACCTAAAAATCGAGCTGCATATAACCATTCCGCTCGATCAGCGACAATTATAAAGAGCCAACAGAAAGCCATCGGTAAACTGGTCACGAGAATTGTTGTTTTAGAACCAAGGTAATTGACGGCGACAGCACCGGAAATGGCGCCAATTAGTCTGCCTAGGTTCAACAGTGAAACTATCCAGGAAGCTTCGGTCATTGTTATGGGAATGTGGGATTTGGATGAAGTCAGATATGCGATATATGGCGAGGTCCAAGCCACCATCATTCCTATTTGCATCAGCAAAAGATTGACTAAAAGTTGAAAAATAATTAGCCAATGTTTATATTTTTTTAGTTTTAATTGATTTTTATTTGTATATGTGTATGTAATCATCAGCTCGTGTAGATAATTTTTCATGTCGAAATGTCGAGGTTATCGAGTAAATATTTTAAAAGTTATAAAAAATCTTGAGATATTAAATCGTGTTTGAGAAATAGTGATATGTATAAAACATGAATATATTAATATATAAAATACATGCACATACCTCCGATACCAGCGATCCATTGTGGCCAAACCGTTTTTTTTATTATTTTTTTCTCGATCTCATGGTCCATGATGATCTTTCCGCAGAATGATTGTGACTGAACCTTCAAGCAGATCTGTTATACTCGACAATCGCTATGTAAAAATCACTATTGCGTCACTTATAAGATAAGTGATGTTTCTTAATGAGCTATAATAATGTATGATACGTAAAACACTTGCGAAACTTTATCTTGTATAATTACTATCTTTTGGGTAATTATTAATAGGATTATCTTTTTAAATTTATTATTTTAATTATATATATTTGTGTTATATTTAAATCAATGATAAGATTAAGTAGCTTAAGTAGTATTAAATTGTATGAAGAATTTTATTTCTTTATTATAGAACATTTATCTGCTAAGCAATTAACATTAAATTGATAAAATGTAGTAATAAAAACGTAATAAAAACGAAGAAATTCTAAAAATATCTGAAATGTCTATGTCATGCTATGTCGATATTATTTCATTATTGCAAAAATTGTACATTTTGATAAGTGCTTTTTGACATACGCTAATGATAATAAAGGTTATCTATATAATTTTTTACAGCTAAATTTAATATAGATTGATTTAATAATATAACATCTTATATGTATTTTTTTTTTACATAAATGTTTTACTGTTGTGCATTATATATTTTAGATTTCAAAATTTTAAATATTTTTTATACAAAAATAACCACGATATACATATATGCGTATATAAGAATATGAGAGAGAAGGTACAAATTAAAAATTTAAATTTTATTTTAATTTGTAATTGTTTCAAGGATATGCATCTATTATTTATAACAAGCATAAAAAACAAGTTAGTTAAACAGAAAAATCAGTTATCTGAGCTATAAAAAATTAATATAGTGATCGGTATGCATACACTTGCATTTAATTATGACTTACATATAATTACGCGACTCTATGTATACAATTTCTATTTGATGCTAAATATATCTTATATAACTTTGAAATATGAAACTATTATGTTAATATTAGAGTCTATATAATTATGTTTTTAATACGCTGTGAAAATAAATATTTTAACATTTCATATAATATTGTAAAATAATAATTTCAGACGTACTCTCTTTTCTATTAATATAGTGTTTTAAAAGTATAGAAGTATATATATATATACATTCCAAGTTTCCGAAAATTTAATAGGGATCTAACATACGATAAATATTGCTTAATTCAATGATAATTTAATTTGATTATCAGAAATACATATGTATATATAATATAATATATAAAGCATATAAGTTTATTTAAAAATAAAAGTAACAGTAAGTTTATTTATATAATGATATATATTTAAGAAAGTAACACGAAAGCATATATTAGAGCATCAGAAATTTCTTTCACAAGGATAAAATAAAATAAAACAATTAAAATATATTACTAAAAGCGTTGTGTTTTTATCTAATTTGAACAAGAAGATTATTATAAAACACAGTTATTGTAAGATATTATTTATTTATATCACACGATATATACCTTTTATGACACTAATATACTATAATAACATTAAGATCTGAATATTAAAGTAAATTAATTTATATTTATAAATAAATACATTTTTAAGTTTCTAAAATATTTGTAGTATTTCGTGATAATGAAATAACTTAAACTTAAAGGTTATTTGTTGCATTAGTTATTCTTACCGTAAAATGTATTATGTTATTGTATAATTTTCTGATTTTATGAAGACTACAGAAAGTATTTATAGCAAAATTAGAAATTGCTCATTATAAACCGTCACGCGGTTGTGAATCCAAATATATTTATCAATGAACAAAATATAACTATTTACATTTTCTGTTCAGACAGTTTTATTTTTTCTCACGATTTCAAACATTATAATAGTTTAATTTTAAATTTATTTGCTAAATCAATTCAGTCATTATAATCAGTTTTTTACATTATAGACATTTTTTTTTCTATCAACTTTTATTTTTGCAATCATTTATATTTATGTAAATGAATGCTAGCGATGTCTACAATATTAACGAAAGCATATATGTATACCTGTATTTGCAATATTATTTACAAAAGTACGTTATATAAAACACATACATATTTTTCGTAATTGGATCTTTATTTTTGTATTACTTATTATTTCCTGAATATTTCTAGAGAATTCAATTTGCTGAAGTATCTTCAATTTCAACACGATTCTCTCGACGTGACCTTTCAGTAGTATTTCTCGCAGCCATCATGTCTTGAATTTCCTATTAATATCACCATTAATTAATATGAAACATTTGCATCGAATTTAAGATAAAACTTTCTATGTTTCATAATAATGTATAAACCATCAGTTAATAAATTATTACTAATATGTCCAAGTAAATTTACACATACACAAATAGAATTATGATAAATGATCATATAGGAGATAAATTCACCTGCAATGTTTTCCCTTTCGTCTCTGGCACCAAAGTAACCGAATACACCAGACAGATCGTAGTGATCGCAGCGTAAATCCAGAATATATACTGTTCGCTTATGATATCTGCAATTGGCTGATAGCTTTTTGTGCAGATAAACGCGAAAATAGCCGACGTGATGCTGGCGATGAATCCAGCCATGCTCTTGAGATCGGATGGAAACAATTCGCTCAGCATCGTGCTTGGCACCGGCACGAGTCCAAAGCACATCGACATGAATATTATCAGCGACAGGATGAGAAGCCACTCGAGATCACCGGGATCGTAATCGAGATCCAGTAAAAGAAAGTGCAAACCTAGTGATAGCATGCCGACTATCACACCGGAAGATGAGATCGCTAGCAGGTTTCTACGACCGCAACGATCGATGGCGTATGCGCCGTACCAACCGAAAATTATACCTGTGTCATAATTGGATGAAGGAAAAACGATCTCATTATTTTATTCTTATTATTTGAAAACGGATGAAAATCAAATTTAAAAGATTAATGTTTGTTATGCTAAATACACGTGGCAAGATTCATTTAAATTTAAGGATCAGATTGTTTTAAATACATACATACACAATATTCATGTATTCCATGAATTAACAAGATCATATAAAACTGAGATAATAATGGCATTATTGATATTGAAATCAATCACGTACCAATCGAATTAACGATCATTACTACAGACGAAGGTGCGATCGACGTGATCATTCCCTTTCTCACAATAATCTCCATATAAAATATAATAGTATTTAGTCCACTGAGTTGCATAAACATGAACAGTAGTATTATAATCGTGAAAGCACGGCGATTTTTCAGCATTTTTATGTGCTTCAATCGTTCCCTTATAGTCACTGCATGCGTCGACTTTACGAAAAGCTCTACAGCTTCCAACTCGCTTCTTATGTCGGATTTTCGGAAATACCATTCAAGTGCTTTCTCAGCTCTGGAATTGTGATAGTAAGCAATAAGAAATGAAGAAAGTGATATTTTAATTTACATAGTTATTACAAATAGTCATATCTAGAATATTATATACAGAATATTCTACTTAAACCATCACTATTTTTTGATGAATCTATTCTTTACATAGGTACACTTATATAAAGTAGATAGCAGTATGTAATTATTTTCTTTCTCGTGCTCTATATTTTTCTCGATATCTCTAGTTTTTTTTACTTTTTTACAGCTCAAACTACATCTAACAGTATTACATATTTAACTAATAATGAGTTGAACAATTTGCTTTTTTAAAAAATTCTATGACTTTTTGATTGCTTTCTTTTCGCTTTGGCTCATTATTTAAATTAACTGCTAATATAAATTAAATTTTAATAGTCGATACAACCGATGAAAGATTAAATATGGCTATTTTTTTACATGAATAAATTTATTCTATTATTATATGTATAAAAAGAAAGATAATCGAAATGCGGATATTAATCGGAATACGAATATATATATACATACATATATATGTATATAGGTCAAAATAAAATGTGAAATAATTCTCGTAATATATTCACGTCTTTCGTTATTACGTAATCGTATACTGTTATATAAAGATATATCGAAAATAATTGACTTTTCTCGATTTTTCGAAGAATTGTGTATTTAAATTTTTTTTAAATATCGAAAAGTTTAAAATCTGAAAAAATATTAAGTTAAAATAATAATTTATTCGTAAAATATACTTTTTCAAAACAAATTATTTTTTTCTTTTTTACTACTTTCTTCAAAAACAATGACAATATCAAAGATAAACATAAATGCCAATATATATATATCAGTAATTATATATATATATATTTACTCTGCTGATTATATGCATATAGTTCGCGTAATTAATTTATGAATTAAATTAACCGATAATTTGTACAATATACTATATATAATTACTGAATACCTACAATATTATCATTACGAAACGTTTATCGAATTAAACTCATCATTCTAAATATCTAAATGAACGTTTATTCTCTCGCTTTGTCATATCAATCACGCATTAAAGATATTAATATTAGGTCGAAAAATTTATGAACACAAGATTAATCATAATTCATTAAATAATAAAGTTCGAATATAACTTTGAACATCAAATTTGTGAAATAATTATAACAATTATAAAAAAATCACTTACCTTTCCATATCGTTGCGTCGCACAAAATAATGCGGCGACCGTGGCAAAAATAAGAAGATAGTTATGTAGCATATCGTCAATATTAAGCTGATGATTCCGAAACACATCATTGACATATTGGGACCCATTATATTACCGAAGAGAATGCCAAAGGGCATTCCGTTGATAATCAAACTTACTAAAGCTCCACGAATCGATGGCGCCGAAATTTCACCGATGTAAAGTGGATAGCAACTGAACACCATTCCCAATGATAAACCTGATTAGTGCATAGTGATATAACTTTAGATAAATTTACAGAGGTCTGGAATCATTTTTAAAAATATTAGCGCACATGACGATAAATTCAATGAGAGTTTGAAAAATTCACATAAAATGAAAAGAGAAAGATTATTTAAATACAGAATTTAAATACGGAAATAAAAGACAATACAATTATGCCCTGCGAAAAATTGCATTGATGAATCGATTTATTCTGCATATAAGCGCTGACAATTAATAACTAACATTATTACCGGAAAATATTCGGAAGATGTACAGCCATGTGACGGAATTGGCGCAAATTACGCAAATCCATCCGAAAATTATTGGCAATCCAGTTAACAATACAGACATCTTGCTGCCAAGATATTCTACGAAGAGAGATCCGATGGTAGCACCAAACAGACGTCCGAGTGGTAATAGAGAAGCTATCCACGACGCTTGTTCATGCGTTATGGGAAACGGCGTATCATCGTCGAGTAATTGCACTAAATAAGGCGATGTCCAACCGATTGAGAGACCAATACTGACGCATAAGAGGGTCACTACGGTATAATATATCGTTGTACAGGAGGACACAAGTTCATTCGGTTCATTTTGTTAATTTGATGAAAAATATATGGAATTTTATTTAATTTTTTTTAAGAATGCAAAAATCTTGTGCCTTAAATTAAATTGGAATATAAATAAATCTCTCAAAGAATTGACTAACCTATTATAGTAGCGAGCCATTGAGGCCACAATTGAAGTAAAGCCTCGTACGTCTTTGACATTATTATTATTATTATTATTATTTTGTTTCCACCTATTATAAGAGTACCTAATAAAAATGTAAAAGATTAGAGAGAATTGTTATCGCATTTCTATTTTTGCAGTTATTCATATTCTTACAATTAAATATATTGTGTTGAAGCAAAGAAATAATTAGACGCGTGCGACATTTAACTTTGACATACAGAAATTCATTTCAAAAATATGTTTATGATTAAGGAGATTATTAAGAGCAGATTATGGTTATTTTCGATTTAACTGTCACTTAATTAAATTCGTCGGTATTTGTTTATTTTATACGAGCTGCAGCGCGAATATTTTTCATCTAGTTAGTAGCGAAAATCACTTTTCGACGATGTCGATTTCGCGACGAGTCGATTCTGACATCTGTCGATAATATAAGTTTGATTCGGGAATATTCATTCTCGAATAGTGACATTACTGGATTTTGCTATGATATATGATAAAGCAGCCATTATGAAATATCTAATAATTTAACGTATTTGTATAATTATAATATTTAAACTAAATACTTTAATTATACTAAATATTGTAATTATATAGGTATGAGAATGAAAATTTTGACATAAGTGTAAATAGTTGCATATACATAATGGATTTATATTTTTTTTCTTATAGTAGATGTATTTTTGATGTGCTGCTTAGGCTTTTCCAAATTCAGGGAAGCAGAGAATGTTTGATATTTAAAATTACATTTACAATTTAAAATTACAATAGAATTACATGTTCGTTGTATATTTGTTGCGCAAAATTTTCCTGGTTTGCACGCGCAAATTACATATTTATATTTCATGTCATTAACTCTTTTATTCATTTACGATAGTTATATATGATTACGTATGAATAGAATATTATTTATGCATGAATGTAATTTAAATCGTTTTAATTTTTTACGCAATGCATGATGTATTTCATGTAAATATATTATTACATTTGCCTATCTTTATCGCGTCGCTTTTCAACAGCGGATATAATAACGAATAACTATTTCTAAAATTTGAGCGTAAAAAGATTACCATTTTAGTTTTGATAAAATACAAAGCTTTAAAACAAAATGCTCGAAAATATCAGAATATTGAACGAGAAGAATACCAAAAAAATATTGTGATATTTTATCGGCTTGCAAAAAAAGCGTGTTAAGCTTTGTAACAATGCAATGATTCTGTTAATGGTATTCAGAGCCCAACTGTAAGTACATATCGTACCAATATAATAAAAAAAAATGACAGCACCGTTGTGTGTAAAGCAAATCGTTAAATGTATAACATTTGAATAGTTTTACCACAAAAATTGCTAGCACGTTTGTTCGATACAAATTATTCGAATTATAAATTATAATTTTAATTTCTGCTTGTGCAAACTAATTTCGCAAGTTGCCATCAAAGTTTCTCAGAAAATGTAATTTTGTGATTTCACTTTTCGTATAACGAAACAATCTTCTATATTTAAACAAGAATGAAGATATTATTACAAAATATCCCACGTATTATGCAATATCTTACTTACAATTAGTGCAATACGGCAAACTTTGCCAACATGTGTGTAACGATGCACAACTATTATAATTTAAATTCTTGCCGAATTCTAAAAGAATTCTCTCGAAAGATTCTTTATCATTAATTCTCCTATATTTAGAACCGACAACATTGAATATAAATAAATTCGTTAAATTTAACATTGTTATTAACAATGTGAAAACACAGCTGCTTTTGATCTAATATAATTGAAAGAGCTATTCTGATAAAGCCGTACTTGTTCTCATTACTCTGTGCGTACCGTTGAAAAGAACCGACATGCCGCTGTAACGAACATTAAGCAGATTTCATCCCGCAACCGAGGATCGATTATTAGTTTAAGATTATATCTTATGTTTAATGGTGAAAATCGGTAAGCTTATTTCGAGCGATTTAACGGGGTTGAAAACTGTTGCGCGTCGCGATGCGAATCTTAGAACAACACGATCTTCCGGACGCATAGTTAGAGTAGGTTGGTCGAGCGATGTTGAAAGCCGTTGAAAGCCGAGCTAACTTAAATGGGACGAAATAAGGTTACGTCACACGGAGGGATTCTACCGTCCTCCCTAGTCTTACGACTGGAGGATAATAGCTTTCGAAACGCAGTCTCGGAGAACTCCCGTCCTCGTGCCACGTAGTATAATACTTCGTTGTTCGTTGTTCGTTGTTCGTCGTCGTCGTCGTCGCGACTCCACTTCATCTGGCGCGGAAGAGGATGAAGAGTGCGCTTCTCTATATACACGGCATTATCTGTGCTCGACGAGTTTATGGTCCCCGACACTCCCACTTTTGCGTCCGCCTTATTCTACTTCCTTCGGGCCCTCCACTTTGACACTGCCCGTACACTTCGTGCAGCCCGAAGGATGACGGTGGTCGTTAAACGCCCAGGTTCGCCCGGCGCTCTCGTGAAACGTCCATTATGCATATTGCATTATGTAATTACGGACTATAATACAATAAAGTCGATTTTTGTTACGTTGCTCGCTATCGCGACGCTTGCTTTCGTTGCGCCGTCGTATTTCTGGCAATCTCGAGTTTGATCGGATCGATCCATCCGATTTATCGCGCTTGTCGAGAAGTGGACGGCTGTTCGACTTTGCGAAATTGCCGGTGTTATTTATCGCGTCTTAACTCAGCGGCTCGAATAAAATTCAATCAACGCTTAATTTCGTCTCCGGATATAAATATTATGTTTAAAAAAAAAAAAATATATATATATATATATATATGACGTATAAGAATAATATGCAGGTTTGTAGAATTATTTACGCATCTTTATTTGCGTTAATACATCATGCGTAGATGCTTTTTGCTATTAAAATCATTTATTGGCAGAGTAATATACGATGTTTCGATAAAATGTTGAATAAATATTTGTCCATAACGCACAACACGATGTCAAATATTTCGAGCAATTAAATCGCAAAGCAAAATAATTCCAAATTTCCCATCCAATTATCTGCAAAATTGCGTATGAGATAGGGAAATACCTCAGACACGCGCTTACAATATTTCCTGTAAGTAGGAACTGGTCAGAGTTCGTTAAATATGTTTCCTAAGTAGATGAAGCCGGCATATACGAGTATATACTGCGCCGGTAAATTACATAGGATTTCCTGTGCAGAGAAGTAACTTACAAAGTGGAGACTCATGTTGCGCGCCAACAGGTCGGCCCGGGAATGACGATTATTTACAAGTTTAAATAATTATTAAAAATGCACGTACGAGCTCCTTGGATTTTTATGACAAGTATTAGGCAATAATAATTCGTTTTAACGACGCCGACGTTTCTGCCAACGTTGAACTTGAACCAACTGCGCGTAAATTATGAATTTAGAAAACTTGATCTTATATACGATTATTATTCTAAAAGTTTGCGCAAATTAGATTCTCTTCGCAAACAGATGCACGCGGTGGTTTTACATAACGTAACGTTTTAATCGACTTATACTTTAATCCGACTCGCTTCTCGCTAGAAAGAGATACGTCAACACGATAAGACTTTGAAAAGTCTTGGCGAAAATCTCCCGTCGTCTGCCACTCGACTAAAGGTGTGTTCGGTAATAAGCATACCTGACGAAATTCAATTATACGATTCCCGTGGGCAGGTAACCTAATTTGCACGTCATCAGGTTGCACATGGCGAAACTAGTTCGAAGATTCTCTTCTCTCCTCCCACGCCGATATACAGGATCTAGCTATATCAAATATTGAAGTTCCTGGATTACACCGGACTACTCTCGGGAACGACATATAACCGATCCGCGTCGGTCTCGAACTACGTGCCTACGATTCGTCTGAACGACGACGTAATTGCTTGTAATCTACCGCGACGCAGTCGTATTACGGAGATCGGTACGGGTAGACGATTTAATGCGTGTTCCGCCAACATTATCGGCAAACATTATCGTTCAAAGACGAATCGAAACGAATTTAAATTGCGTTAGTAACGTTCGCTCTATATCGTCAAAAAACTTGATATGCAGCACATAAAAAACTAATAGTATTAAATTACTTTTACATTTTACCCAGCAAACGCAGTATATAAATGTTATATACTCAAGCATGTTACATGTAACGTATATGTTAGTTGTAATTTCCCACTCATAGATGTAACATTTTTAATATTACATATATTACATTGTATATATATTGTCATTATATCCCAAGATAGCACTGACTTATTAATACATCAATGTGCTATTTGGTATATAATTACAATATAACTACAATGTAATATATGTTATATTAAAATGTTACATCTATGAGTGGGGAAATTACAACTAACATGGATGTTACATGTAACGTACACGTTATATTACCTGTTATATTCCGTTTTATTATAGCAATGTAACAATTATATATCGGTGTTTGCTGGGTATATTCTTTGTATTTTATTCAATATCAATATTAATGCATAACATTATATATTTTTAATCGAAAACTGAACTATATATGTCGGAATTTCTATATTTTGCTTCTGTAATTATCTGCTGTTGTTAATATATTTTGACTATTGAATTCTTATATTCTCATTAAGCACTATTTAATTACCAATGCAGTATATATATTAGCGATGCCAGATGCTAGTACTTTCAATATACTTGTTTAATTGTTGGATTTTATTTATATTTGTTAATTACGATATATATATATATATATATATATATATATATATCTTTCCTTTTCTCTTAGTATTGTAGCGTCGATGATGATTTCAACAATAATTGATGTGTTAATTATATTATAAACGATATTTATTATATTATAACGGTATTTATTGTATAATAAACGGCTTTATGAATACAAAGACGATTTATCAAATTATAGTATTAATGATTTGTGCCTCGTGGATAATGAAGCGCGTAGCATTTTATATAATTCGAATGATTAGAACTCGTGCGTTAAACGATAAGATCAGTACTATTGATTTACTTGTTTCTTGATCCGCTTGAGTAAATCACTTA